ACACACACACACACACACACACACACACACACACACACACACACACATACACACACATACACAGAACTTTGGCACAAGAAAATTTTTATCCAATGTCCTGGAGGCGGGTGGACTCTTGATCAGAATTGAACCCAGTATGGATGTGAATTTTGACGTTTCTACGTCAGGACATCAGGTTGGAACCACCTTCCAGGAACCGAAGCATGATTGTTGCTGCAGGAACACGATCTCAGACCATGTAGGAACAGAAATCTAGATAAAACTTCACCTTAAAACCTGCTCACCTCAACTAATATGAAAATTAGTGCCAGTAACTTTAAAAATTCAGACAAGCCAATCCAGGAAAGTCTATACTTTTTAAATAAACTCCAACAGATTTTTACCCATTTACTGTATAATGAGTATAGGAACTGTAGCACGCTTTAGGCATGAGCTTCCTGGAATTATATAATTTTAAATGTAATAAACCATAACTCCACCTGGTGGTGAGGACTTTCTGTGATGTTCGTTCCTTCAGGTTTCACTGGTTGAAAGGTACAAATCGACAGAGCAATGCCACCATTGAATGGTACGTTCCCTCATCGGCTCCCAGCGGCTCCTACAGGATCAGACACTTCGGACATTACAAAGAGATGAAAGGACTGCGGCCTGTCATCACTGCGTACGAAGGCTCGTCTGACATCTTCAGAGTCACCGAAAGCTTCTACCAGCAGTGACATCAGTTCAACATCCAGAGAAAGAACATCTGTAAGACTGTCCACATCTGTGTTTCTGAAACTGATGGTCCTACTGCAGATTTGTAAAAGGCTGAAAACATGTTCAGGGTTACAGTCCTGTCAACTCATTTAAATAAAGTTCTATTAAATTTAAAAAATACTTAAATATAAGGAACATGTGTTGCACTGTGTTGTCTTGTGTTTTCATGTAAAGGAGTTAATGTCTCCGTCTGTGTCCTGTCTCTATATTGTCCTCGTTTCTTCTCTGTTTTGTGTCTCGTTACAGGTGGACATGTCTTTGTGCAGCTTGTCCAATTAGTTTTGTCAAATATTAAATAATCAAATGAAAATGAGAAAGCTTGTTTTGTAGCAAAAATATTTATTTTAAACTTGTTTGAATAGAAATGTATCAGGCAGACCAGGATTACACATTACAGGAACAAAGTCATGATCACAGCAGCAGGAAGATCTCAACTTGGCACGTTCAGGAACCAGCAGAAGACTCTCAGTCCAGTTGGACACCGAGACATCAGCAGGACAGAAGACAGTCTCTTTATACATGAATGATCTGCCTGAAAAACAACACCGGCTGATTGTATCTTCATGTTGACAGAGTCACACTGAACAGCACAAACATCTCATCGTATCTCAGGTTTGAACCTCCAGACCTTAGTCTGGTAAAGACCAGGTTCAGG